ACTTCCTGTAGTGTGGTTCTTTTATATTATTTCAATGACCCCCAAACCAAAGGTGGATTTATAACTAGCCCAAAATACCTGTATTCAGGAATGGTATTCCATCATAAGGAACATATTGGGATTTCCACATAAGACGAATTGATGGTTTAGCTGAAGAAGGGGATTGTCTGGTTCCCCAGCAACTGTTGGTGTGCTGTTTGTGTAGCGTGAGGATCAAGTCCAATTCTACTTCAGTGGTAACATATCCCCTGTAGGAATCCCCTATGAGCTCACAGTCGTGAAGTCGCGCAGCCCAGGGGTTATTCGCTTGTACGGCACTCGATAAATTCGCTATTTGCTGAGAAGCGTCCAGTGAGGTACTTGCAGAAATCGCTACATTTTCAGAAGAAATGACCACACTATCTTGAGTGCCAGTCACGCTTACCACCACTGACTCGTGTTGTTGGACTTGAGGTATACTCTCTGACATTTCTTGTCCGCTTAACGTGGCTGAAGCTCCCTGAGTATCTATAGAAATGCTCTGGGTCGCTATCATTGTTTCTGAAGTTGTCATCGTCTCGGGTAAAGCAGATGCGGAGATCGTAGTGATTACGCCAGCTTGTCGAGGAATAGTTTGGATTGTTGTTGGAATACTAGCCGACATTGTGTTTTGGAGAACTTCGGCCGCAGAAACTTGCTCAGAAGCCATGATTTGTTGTTGAATTGACTCGCTCGACAAACCTTCGGCGGAATCCGCCGCCATATTGCATCAAAATCGGCTAACTCTGGTGAGTTTTGCGCGTAACAGATGATCACTCTTATCAATGAAACAGTTTCTCGTGTTTACGCTTGAAAACGAGACAGGAAAGGGGCTAAAAATAATAGCGCCAAACTTTTAAGGAGAGCCTCGCTTTACAACGAGACGATGGCCTCGACCGCGTGGAAGAGAGAAGGCCTCCTTTTCATGCTTGACCGCGGAGAACTCTGGGATGTTTGCAATACCCCGGATTAAAATTAAAAGAAAAGAAATATTGGAGACCTATCTTGGATAGGGGCATATGAAAAGGAAAATTAGAGTAAATTGAAAGGAAAGTAAGTAAATTGTAAAAATTAAATCAAACAAAGAGGAATGAGGGTTGTATAACGATAATTGTTTCTTCTACAATACAGGTTCGTCCCTGTCTGCTTGTCTTCCAGCAAGGAACCAATCACTTGCCCGTTATGATGTGCAGGGTGATATATACCTGCTAGCTTTCTTTTTTCTGCCATTGGTAAAGGCGTAGTATAAGCTTTAGAGTGCCTGAGCATTTCCGTAGAGGGCCAGACGATTTCCGAAAATGGCTTAAAGAAATGAACCAAGATTAACTCGATTCCACACCAATATGCAATCAAACGTTTCAGCCAAAGACCGATCATTTTCATGAATTTTTCATTCTCGTATCCACTCAAGTTTAGTTTACTCTCGTATCCCTTCAAGTTTAGTTTACTCCGAGTATTCTTTCTAATCTTTCCATCTGCGGTAGTAAGACTTGATAGGTCACTATTCTTCAATAAGTTTAAAATCGAAGACAGATTCTACATTAAAAAGGTGAAATCCGCGATCCTAATCGGCTGTCGTCAACGTACTTAGCCAAGGTGTAGTTAAGTTAAACACAAGGATGTTTTGAGGCTCACCAAAAAAATTTTGATTGCTTCTGAATACCAGCAAATCTATACAACGATGATATCATGGAACTGCACAACTGCGTGCGCGTAACCGGCGAGCAAACGAACGAAGGGAGAACGCAAACACAGCGAGTCTAGAGGCGTTTAATCATGCTGTCGCTCATGACCAAAAAGACAAAGGATAGGGTAGATCTAAAGTGAGTTAAACTTGCCTAGGTGTCTATAAGCCTTTAAAATTCCTTTGTGAGTCACATGCCATCATACCAACACTGTGCACTCACTTCTGTCTAGGAAAGAGCTCTTTTACAAAAAGCCCGCACTTTCTATAGATCGTGCACTCACCTGGCGCCTTTAGAGCTTTGAGCTCAAACTTCCCGACAAAAAATATTGTGCAAATTGAGTTAGAGTGAATAAATATCTTAACATAGCACAGATGTGTATCCAGGATTTTTCAAAGGGGGTCACACTGTGTCAACAGAGGGTACTCACTAGTTTTCGCCGCCTGAATATCATAGGTTGTTTGCTCAAAAAAGAGGCTTGAAAAGGGGTAGAGGGGGCCACGGGCATCTCAGGACCCACCCTCCTAGTTGTGCCCTGAACGGACCGTCGCTCAGTATGTAGCTATAAGCACTTCTAGTATAGTACTTGGATATCCACTTCGTGTTGCAATGGCGTTTTATTTGACAACGCCACTCGTTATCTAACCCGTGTTAGAGAGCAAGTAGAATGAGTAGCCTAAAAGTGTGCAATTGTAAACAAAACAAAGAAAGAGCATGAGTATGTCTTGTCGAAAAGTTTCAAACGACTCGTTTATTTGTACTGAAACAATAAGATTATTTGCTATTGATTGATCGCGTGATAATATTGATTTGGGGATACACTTCTTGATTTCGTTTCGCTGGCTCCGTTCAATTGGGGCTTCATCTGTGAATCCGTCTCACGGTTCATTTTCGATTTTAGACTCAGTAAAGAAGGTCCGAGGAGATAACAACAGTTTCCTTTTTGCTCATCTTGCAGCGTGAAGATCAATGATTCTTGATAAATGCAAAGTGCATTCGATGGGTTTGTTTGTTAACAAACAGGTTCCACTTCACCATTTTTCAGCTTAAGGTCACAGATGACGTCAAATGTGGCAGGACAAAAAGAATCAAACCGGACCCCCAGGCGAGTTTTTCAGGGTCACTTATGTTCCTACCGCATTTTGGCTTCTGGCATGATCTACAATTGAACGGAGACACGAAAAAATTAGGTATACATCTGAATTATATAATATAATGAACAGGAAGGTGACATGGAAAAAATTACAAATTGCCTCTTAACGCTTGACCGGTCGCGTTAAATGTTCCTGTTTAGGTATTGCAAGGAACTTGGCGTCCGTCTAATGCTTGTGAACAGAATCTACAATACTTATTCATAGTTTTTGTAGCCTTCGCTTACCGAGTTTATCCAAAAATATCTCGCAAATATTTTAAAACCGTTTGCCATTTTCGAAAAGCAAAGTAAACAAATTTCATTGACGTCATTTAGGCGTCTGACCTCTGTTAGATTATGGGTAACGACCAATCGGAGCGCGACAGATACATATGGATATATGGGACTATGAGATGTTCGATCTGGTGCTTAAATGCGTCTGACAAAGACCATGGATGTGATATGTGAATTAACTTGGTCTTTCTTTTAGTCCGTTAATACCGGCTTTAATCTGCGGGCACACCGAGATTGTATTTTTGCCGTTTACCACTATCAAAATGATGCGTTCTGCTGGTAACTTAGGTGATCCCTTTTTCTATTCACAAACAAACTCTCGCAGTTTACACTACGCGCAGCAAGGTTCCCCAGATTGAAAGCTTGGGATAGCAGTATGTTAAGACTCATCATTTTATCGGCTTTGCAAAGAAAAGAAACTCTAACTTAGTACTCCCATGCTGTCGCAAACTGTAACACACTTAACAAAACAGGAATACTAATTTTATTCTTTTGTTAGCAACAAGGAATAAAAATGTGTCTAACAAGCCTAGGAAAAAATCTAAACGGAAAAAAGATCCTCCGCTCGAAAAATGCAATTGAAAATGCCGCAGATTTTTATCATTTCATCATATCTTTTGCTTTATCAAAATAAGTTTTTCATGATTGATTTTAAGTCGATTGTGCTAGGCAAAAACATTTTGTAATGGAAAACCCAAGAATATTCCCATCTGGATGGGTGACAAAAGATCATTTACTTTTGCAATTTTTTTTTTCCAAAAAATTTCCCCTCGCGACCATAAAAGTAATAACACGTTTTGAGTGGGTCTCCTCCTGAGGCCTCCTATGTTGTTACGATCTTTATGGCTTTGGGAAATTAATCAACCTTGTTTACCAAAGTCGGGGTCTTCAAATGTTTACTTGTCATAAACACTAACTGGTGAAGAAATCAAAAGTTTTGTCTGACAACGGCTCCAGTTGGGACATTTTTATCTCCAGTGTTTAATTGAATGTATAAATATATAGATCATATTAAGGCAAATCCACATTTTTCTTTAAACGGCGAATTATTTCTTTTGTTTCTGTAGACAAAAGAGGGCGAATTTTAATGGATTTAAAAAGGCCGACAATAAAATTAAATATTTTAGTCTTACGTCGAACAAATGAAAACATTGTAGTTTTCAGTGTTTTGAAATCTTGAGTTGTTTTGTCGGAAACCTTACTAAATTGTCCGATTGTTTCCGCGAATTTGAAAATTACTTTGGTACATGGTGCATTGATGCATCAATGAAGAAACTTTAAATTACGCCGCGTCTTTCTATTTTGTTTTGCCGGATCGCGCGCGGATAAAGGGAACTTTTGTGACGACCCAAAATGGATTTCGTTATGCGATTGTCATCGTTCTGTTTATCTCTTTTTCAGATTTTTTACAAACATAATCCATATGTTTTAGATTTGAATGGCCTGTTCGCTACATTTCCATTGATTGGCGAATTGAAATCTATAATTGCACGTCGACGAAGCCAATGATTTTCCTTTTTTGTCAAAATTATGTCGCAGTGGACGCACAAATTAACATTCACCACTGCCCTGTTTTGCATTTTAGGGAACAAAATTATCATAGTAATTTCGGGCCATTTTCGCCCCTTTGAGTTATTAGGCGCTATTTTGTTGAGTTATTTGCGTAACACAGTGCTTAATTTAGGCAAAAGGAAAGATCAATTGCGTACGAATCAACCTTTTTACTTTAACTTCATTGCTGAAAAAAATTGTCAAAGGGATTTCGCGTGACAGCAATGACGTCAACGACTCAAATGATCAACAATAATTGATAAAATTCTGTTACCTGATTGGTCCAGTTCCTTTCCCAGGATACCTGGCGCTGCTACACGAACCGAAAGAGACGTTTCGCTGGCGAAACAAAAGTAAGCAAGGGAGCGAGCATGGAATAGTCGAGCGGAATTCTTGGCTATGAATTTGTCCTCTTTTATTCTTGCAATTTTCCGAATGGGATAAATAAAAATGGCTCCTCCAGGCGAGCTTAATCTTCTAAAAGAACCCCAGCTTAAGGACAAAGAAAAAGAATCCTACAATGGATATATTACGACTACGGTCGCTTCGCTTGACAGACCGCACTTCACATCTTGGACGTTGTTGAATGGTAAGGTGCGAATTGGGCCTGTAGAATCGGGTAGTGGATTTATTTTGCTCTGCCTACTATGGCTTGTCTTCGCCTCAGTGCCAGAAGGAGTTCTTCATGGATTTTGCTCGGTGGTTCAGCGTATCTTTACAATATTTTTACCGCTTGTTTGCTTGATTTGTGTGTTTTATTGGGCCGAACTTCTCATTCATAAATACTGCAAGAGCCAGATCTCGTACGCTGTGTTCCCCGTTTGTCTGTTAGGAGAGCTTTGTACACAAGTTATCCTTGGTGGATCGGATTTCCTGCGAACTACTTTTCTCTTTACTCTCGTGATGGCTGGACTCGTAACACTTGTATTTTCTAAACTTAAAATTCTACCCACAAGTATAGCGCTGTTGTTACTTACAACCGCTCGATTGTCATGTTGGATTACACTTCGTGATATTCCGTCTTTTTTGCGGCCATTTCTAGCCTATTTTTCAGCGTTTAGTGGGCTGATATTATCAAGAAACATTCAAGCATGGTTTTCTCCATCCCCGGGCGAGACCATTCAAAGCAAAGCGCCTCTAATACGGAGACGAACTTCAAGCGTTTCCTCGACTAGCAGTTTGAACAGTAGAAGAAGAACTTCTCTTCCAGCGCTTGGAATCCAAACCAAGGTAGGTAAATCTATGTGAAAGCCTCATTCATTTCCTTAGCTATAGATTACGATCTTTATATTAATGGGTTGGAAGAGCAGTTTATAACTGCCCAAGATCTTTGACCTGTCAAGCCACGGTTTTTCAGACAGAGATGCATTTTGCATCAAGATTCGTCTAATATTTAACAGTACATGATCGAGTAGCAAGGCGTTCGTTTTACATTTTCCTTCATTTATTGTAATGCTGTTTACCATTTGCCTTCTGTTTATATTTTGATAGTCGCGTTGGTGTTGCTCTATTCGAGAAAGCCAGTTCGAGTGCAAGCGGCCTCTTTGATTTATTTCAATGTTGTTCTTTTCCATGCGATGGAGTGTTCGACAAGCGGCAGGGAGAAAACCCAATGTACGCGGTGTACACACGAACATGCATTAAACTTTCATGAGTGCGATTATAGAAAAAATCTTGCGAAATATCATGTCGCAATTTCTGCGTGTAGCACATGTTTACGTTTTATTACTTGACTTTGGATGGATGATGTTCGAAGTCGAGGCTTAGAAGGTTTAAAATACTCGCAAGTGGTGCGGCAAGATTTATGGAGCTCAAAGGATCTCTAATCTTAGCAACGCCAGTTATCTGGAATCACCTGCAATCCTCGCCAATTTCTCGGTGTGCAATATATTATCATTTCTTTGTTAGTTCTTCAACATTTGTTATGGAAATTATTCCTAATCTGGCATGGCTCGGCAAAATGCAAAATGGTAAGGATTTGTTCTATAAGTGATATTTCTTTGAGGCGAAGCCATATGGACAAATCCACACTATTATTTTCGTTATTGATTTTTAGACGACCTTCATCGGGGTTTCGGTGATTGCTTCATGGCCTGACTCAATGAAACACGGTACACTTGGGCCAAATCTCATTGTGCGACTCGAGATGTAATTGTAGATCTTGCAAATGAGATAAACAACAACTGCTCGCTTCCCACAAGTCAAAATCGCCCTTCGGTTTGGCAAATTAAGGCTAATAACTTTGTGCTCGAAATTGTAGTACCGAGCTAATTTTGATAAAAAAAATCAATATGCTCGGGAGTCGAGAACACGGCTTAGTGTTTTGCGGTGATGATAACAATTCCAATTTCCCTCTTCTTGTTTGCAGATGGTGCGACAATAGGGAGAAGGTTTCTGTCTGTTTTGCTAGCGCGGGAACTGCTAATCGAATTCATTGTCGAAGTAATTTTTGCTGTTTTGCTTTCGAGATCGTCTCTTCTTACGCGTGTTCAGTATGGAATATTGTTTTCGCCCACATTGTTTATTAAGGGATAAACATCCGAGACTGTTCGGTATTTGGTGGTCAAGGATAGCGGTTAATTTATGAATTCGCCCCGAAACCAAATAGCAATTTTCTTCAAGAGTATGCTTACTAACTGAGCAAATAAATAAATACCGAAAAGAGATCAGATCAGATTTGATTTGTCAATCACATTTACGCATCCAAAGATGAGGAAAGGCATTTTACAAGGACGATTAAATTAGTTCAAAGCCGTGTGATTTTAGCTGGTGTTGTCATCTTAAGTGGCTACAGGCTGAGTGTTGTTGAAAAAGATATATAGAAATTCTTTCCACTATCAAGTTACTTAAAGCTCAGGAAGAGCTTTGATTGTTTTCTTTGAAACCCAGGTAGTGTAAAAATTCCATATATCTGTTGGCGCACCAAGACTCGTGAATGTCATGGGGAATTTTTATATATGTGATCTTTGTTTTCTTCCTGCTAAAGAACATACGTTTTGACTTTATTGATACCTTGTGAGTGTCATCAGGTCAGGAAGACAAGCACATGCCAAACAAATTATCAAAGATTGTTTACATGCATAACATTTTCCACTCTACTTACTATAAGGGAATGCACATTTAAATGGAAAACAGCTTGCGAATGTTGTGATTTTTCGAACGAATTCATCTCCATGGATGCTATCAAAGAAGAAAAAGCTGCTTTTATGATTATATTTTTTTGATGTTCTCTTGTGATTTGAAACGAATCTTGGGATATTTTTTCCCATTTTTTGCTGAAGTGATTGGTTAACAAACTTAACTATCTTAGAAATTGTGGGTAATTTTTACGGAGAGAATATTTTACCTTCTGTTATAAGATATAAATGCATTTGGGTACATAAACATATTTGTCAAAATGGTTGTTGACAAAAAAATTGGAATCATGCACTCAGCCCTTTGTAGTATCTGAAAATCTAACAAATTTTTGTTTGAGTGTAGCTTTCACTTTTTAAGTTTGATTGTTTTTCATTCAAGTGTTCTCAGTAGTCCAGTGCTCTGAATCATTGGTTTACATACTTTATAAAAAGAATTAACTTCTAAGCTGTATTGTCTGCCAAGGTTTAAACTGTAACTGTGACATTTTTCTGAAAGGTTTTAAGAACTCAATCAGCTATAGCAAGGTGTAAAATATGATCCACATGTTATGAAATATGCATAAGTTAACTATTAAATAAAATCTACATTTTTATTTATTCAGTTTTATATGATAGCAGCGTGTTAAAATTTACCTAAGGTAATCATGGTTTGTGAAGATGTCTTGCTGTGTATTTTACGCAGCAGTTCAATGTCGTTTGTTCCGTTGAATCATTTCTGTAGTGTGAGCTATTCCTTATTTTTAATGATCACAGCTTCTTATTTTAACCAAGAGTCACCTGTATTTGAAAAAGATTTGACAAGAAAGTCTAGCAACAATTTATTTCTCTATGACAGCATCACTAAGCAAAGCAGTAGAAAAACTCTGATGGACATTGAATTTGTTTCAGTAAAACTTATAATTGATAAAGTGATAAAATGCAATAACATCATGGAGGGGAAAACCTCTTTGCCGATTGCTTTTGTTGAGAATTTGGCAAAAATTTTGAGCAGATTGTGTGTATTTTCTGGGTTTGGAGGCTTTTCATGCCCATGAATTGAGTTGTCATTTTCTATTTAGCTGTAAGTTGATCAGAGCCGGAAAAATTATTAATTTGTTTTTACTGCTGAAAGCTGACCTTTGTTATTTAAACACTTAAACTTGAAAAGAATTCCTTGTCTAAGTACACATGTATATGTTATTGTGATTCTGTGACCTGCACAATGCATAGTCAAAGCAAACAGACTTATTTGTCCTAAATGTTATTTTTTTGGACTTAAGGTCAGAGCAGTTGCATTTTATTTTTTTGTCTTCATTACAAATGGCCTTTTATGAACATTTAATGGACACAGGGGGTCTTTTAATCTCCAGGCCATTCCTTTCATTTCATTGGTAATTATTGCAAATTTTGGATTCTTTAAATATCTAATGAGATATATTTATAGAATGAAAGTAAAAGATGTTTATGGCATCTGAATGGGGAAGATAGCATGGAGACATAGTTGTTTTTTTCTTGGTAGGAATGAAATACTACAAACATTTTCACCTTGGAGCAAATAAATTTGAAAGTCACCTCAGACAAATCTTTTGACAGTGAAAGTGTTGCTCCATTCTATTTATTTTTATGAAGTAGGGGACATCTGCTTATACTTTTGATAAGAGAAAGCAAAAGATGTGTTTGATAAGCAGGGTTGTCGTTTAGGGCTGGCTGTGGGCAAAATGCATTGGATGAAGAAGTGCCAATGGCTGAATTTTTCCACTGAACGTTCCATATGGCATAACAGGCACTTCCTAGGTTTTGCAGTTGTAATCATGGGCACAAGATACATTAGACCAGTTTCATGCCTAGAGAGTGAGAGCTTGTTCAGGAGAATTCTTAACTTTCTTTTGGTTTTTGTCGTTTGTTTGTTTGTTTTTTTGGAGGACTTGAATTTATTCATTACAATAATACACAGTATGCACTTAATAACTGATGGTGGCTGTTGTAACTTTTAGCCATTTTTGGTTGCAGGGTTCTATAGACTGCACAACACTGGGAGAAGCTCATGGCATGATCTCTGACCTACTAGCAGATTCTAATGTGCCTCCTAATGTGGCAAGCACCCTTAAAATAATCAGCACAATGATCGCACCACCCACTGCTTTCCATGCAGTACAGCGGCCATTTGTTTCCGCCATGTCACCCCTTATAGAAAAATTCCGGGATGAGAGTCAGGAGGACAAAGTGAGAGATCAACCAGATCTTAAGGATGACATGCCTTTGCCAATGGTTGGGGTGAGTGCATTGTCAGTTGATCTAGGTGCAGTGTAATCCATTTGCTCCCAATATATAAATTTCAGTTCTCCACACGCTGTCTGCCATACATTTCTGATAACTTGGGCTGTGAGAATTTGGTGGTAAATCAGACAGTATTCCCCAGTTAGTACGTTCACATTTTAGTCTTTTATGGGTGTGAAAGAGATAAGAAAGGGTGTTTTGAGGTTCAAGGGACCTTCTGCAGTTGGGTTGTTAAACCCTGGCTGGAATCAATCACGTTTTGTTTTGTGTTCATGAGAAAGACACTTCACTCTTTCAGTGCCCCATTCCACCTACAAGGGTAGGAGTAGGCTCTAGCAAACTGTCAGAGAAACTTGTCGAAATGTTGAAGGGTTAGTTTCAATAAGCTACAGCTTCCCACCCAGGAAAAAAAAAAGATGGCAGGATGGCTCTTGTGATTTGTATTACAAATTCAAAATTACACATGATTTCTGCCAAAAGTTTTGAAGGCCTGTGACCACATAAGTAGCACTGATCGGATTGTTATGTTAATTTCTCTAACTAGTAAAACCACAAAACTCTTCTCTCCCATTTTCTGTTGCTTTAAGTCATGTTCATTTGCGAAAGTGATTCTGATAGCCAGTGCGCAATCGCAGACTACATAACGCGTTTTAAATTGTTTACATAGAAAACAAGGAAACCATTTACATCGAAACTGACGATCTTTTTTTCAGCAACTCCAGCGAATAAGGCGCACGTTAAATTCCCAAGGGAGGCGCATGTCAAGCACGTGGACGACCACAACCTCCGCCACTGGCATGCCTACTCTAGATCCTGACGTCACAGTGGGTCGCACAACACCTGTTGTGACATTCACTGAGCACAATACTGTTAGTCACGCAAATAAGAGCCCTCAAAAGTCTTCACTAGCAGAAGGCGCTAATATTACCAGCACGAAAAACGGTCCTCAAGAGACTTACACCAAGCATAGACCCGCTTGCTTCAGCCACAGCTTTCCCACTCAGGCTTCACCGGGTCTGTCGCGAAAGCTTTCCCCGGACATGGCCCCATCTGGCTCTCCTCTTCTCCAAAGGCGTTCGCCTGATCGGGCTGCGGCAACGCCGACTTCTTCGTCTCCTAGTCTTCTACGGAAGTCGCCCGATAGGATGTTTACTTCTTCGAATGTGTTCAGAAGACTTAGTAAAGAAGAAACGCAACTTGTCAAAGATGCTCTCGATCAGGCAGAGCAGGAGAAAGAGACGGAAGACGTCGTTGATACTGTGGGGAAATCTAAACCATGTGACTGTGACTGTCACGCAAATCCCTCGTCAACAAAACAAGAAAAAGACAATAATCAAACAAGTAATGAGTCTGTCAAGAAAGCGGACAGTGTTGAGGAGAATCCGGTTTTACCCAAATCAAAAGAACTTGATAAACTACTAGATCAAATCTCGGACTGGAATTTTCCGATATTTGATGCTTGCGAACATGGAAATATATTGACTCAGGTAAGGATGAAACTTGTTGGAAATGTACAATTTATGATATTTACCGACTTGTTCACTTTTCGGTCGCAAGGGAATGTGATGGGTTGGGGGAGGGGATTGCGTGGTTGAAAGAATTATTAACCCGCAGAAGAATTATTAACCCGCATAAATTGTGTTAAAGGCCATCAAGGGTAAGTTTCCTACACAGGAAATAGCCACCTTGAAGAAAACAAACCGTAAAGCTGCTGCTTTTTTCCACACAATAATACGCTTTTTTTCAGTTAAGAAATTTCAGTTTATATATGTCTTTTTGCTGCAGGTTACATACAAAGTGTTTCAGAAAGTTGGACTTTTTGAGGCATTTAAAATTCCAGAGGACAAATTCCTCAGTTTTTTCTTTGCATTGGAAAGTGGGTACCACGATATTCCTTGTAAGTAAGATTTGTTCTGTGTGACTGGGTTGATTTTTTGTGCAGTCTATTTTGCCATGAGGAAGTTTTGTGATCTAGATCGGTTAGAAGGCGTAAAATATCGCGCAGAGTTTTTTATAAAAATAATTCCTCTTCCACTTTTACTCATGTTCAGACCTGATTATTTGGTGATATACTTGAGTCGAGATTTTGGTAAACGCAGAGTCTTAAGGGGGCGACGAATCAGCTCTTTAGTCGTTGATGCTTTCAATGTGCTCAGTTCTGACATGAGAAAAGGTTCGACAATGTTGTAATAATTGTACATGTTAAAAAGTACTGGTTATGCCACATACGCGTCTTTTTCCCTTGAAAAATTTCCTTTTTAAACAGTTTTCCATGTGGTTGAAAATAGAAAATAGTCATAGGATTTCAACTGAGATCGATCATTGACATGTTTTCGCGATCAGAAACGGACGTTCTAGTTTTGGTGAAAAATTTCGCAAGGAAAAAAACTTGTTAAGGTCCAGATTTGTTTGTGTCGATTACTTGACATTTACGATTGTCGAAGGAAATTTCAGAAAAGTTAAGGGAAATGAGACTTCAACCAAGTGTCTCTTGTCAAGGATTCCGGGCTAAAATCTAGATACAACAAAACATAATTGTCTGACAATTACACCCGCTAAGAACACTTTGCTGGTGTGAATCCGTTTTTCTCAGAAATTTGACTTTGACTGTCAAAACGCTTCCTCTCTATACTGTTCTCTAATCACAACCCATGGTACTGTCTTGGAGAATGTGGTGAACAATCAAGAGGCACTTTAGTTGTATTCTCATTACCTAAATGTATGAGGTAGCCGTGTTACTTTAAGGAGAAATTATATGCTTGTCACACATAGGATTACATTTTAATGGTTAATTTCTATGCTGTATTTAGACCACAACTGTATGCATGCTTCGGATGTTCTTCATGGCGTGTTCTTTATGACAACAAAGAAGATTCCTGGCTTTGGTCCATCAAGCTTAAAACTTGGCGATGATAGCGAGTCGGATTCGGACAGCGGACTAAACGGGGAAGGACGGCAGAAGAGTAATACTGGTGATTATGGAATCTTAATGGACTCTATTCCTCAACTGGAACTACTGGCATTGTACACTGCAGCCACCATGCACGATTATGATCACCCGGGGAGGACAAACGCTTTTCTTGTGTCAACTCTATCGCAGCAAGTAAGTTTATCCAGTTTTAAACGATCTCGCGTTACTTGATGGTTATGTACTGTGTTGTCCTGTGTAGCTGCTCTTTGAGATTAGCCCTGCGTGACATCCCTGAAGATCTGTTGCGAAAGAGGCCACACATTGTATTAGAGGAAGAGTATTTAATGTTGTCCTTTCCTCTCCTTAACGAATGTTTTCAAACGTGAGTGCTTTTTGATGTTGTGTCGCAAAAACCAAAACCAAAATTAAAGTTATGACAAGGGCCAATCAGAACAAAGGTAAATATTGTAAGGAACCAATGAGAACTCAGAGTGAAATAATGTTCATTTAATGGCCATAAGCGCAGAAGAACGCAGCTACCAAGTCATGATCGGTTGTAGTTTTGCATTTGATTGGCTGAAAGGGTAGCGCGAGTTTTGCAGACCAGTCTTAGTACGTAGTTAACCCTTTTACGCACTGACGTCAGTATGCATATTCTCTATACTTTGCGCCATAAATTTCGTAAAGTGCCGATAGAGATAATTTGTTTCACAATCAAGATCTCATTTATTCGGTGAAAGGAGAAATTATATTAGTCATTCTATGGGGTCAAAGGGTTTTATGAAATAACACCATACGACTTTCGGCGTTTAATTAATAACTGATCTTTTGCGTTCCTTCAGAGGTGTTTTATTTTTGTTTGTTTTACAGGTTACAGATTCTTGTGCCCTAAACACGTTTCTTATTTTTTTTCAGGCTTTATTGTATAACGACAGATCAGTGTTGGAGAATCATCACGCCGCTGCTGCATTCTCACTTCTTATGTCAGATCCAAAGTTTAACTTCTTGTGCGGGTTAGAACCTGTGGAATTCAAACGCTTCAGGTTTCTTGCGATTGAAGCTATTCTGGCCACAGATCTCAAGAGACACTTTGATTTGCTCTCCGAGTTTAATGCCAAGGTAAAGAAAAGTAGACTGTTGTTGCGAGTTATTTCCGTTACTTGCATCAAAGAATAGTAAAAGAAATTATATTCTTAACATAAAGGGGCAATTTTTATTTCATAAAACTGATCCACTGAGAAGACTTTGCTTTAGGTATCCTTTGATAAGTCGGCCAGTTGACGCTCAAGAGTTAAAGCAATCTTAACTTGGTATTAAATGCAAGCAAGTCCAGGTTTGGACAATCTTTACTTGTTTAGAATGCAAGCAAGTCAAGTTTTAGGCAATCTTAAATTGGTTTTAAATTCAAGCAATTCGAGGTTTAGTCAAACTTAACTTGGTTTAGAATGAAAGCAAGTCGATTTTAATTCATTTTCGTTCTTTTTTTTTTTGACAGATTTCTGAAGAGGGTGGTGGAATAGATTGGTCGCAAGAAGCTGATCGACTTCTGACCCTCCAGATATGCATCAAAATGGCGGACATTTCAGGACCGAGTAAGCGTAGGGACTTACACACTCGCTGGACCGAGAGGATTGTTGAAGAGTTCTACGAGCAGGTAATGGGAAAAGAAAAAGGGAGAAAGAAAATTTATGCCTAGATTACATAGTCTAATATTAAATGATATGTTTTAGTTATGTTACGTGGCCTTACGGTAAGTGCGCTGGGGCCCGTCTCTCAAAAGTCCTGGTAACTTAAAGGCCCGAAGCCGTATTTTAAAATTTAAAGATTAGAGAACTAGGTTCTGGCACCCTAGCCAGTCCATTTTGTTTCTTCCGCTGATACTTTTATTGTAGAATTTTTTGTCATTTCCGACGCACGATGGTTTCAACAGTAGGACAGTGGTATGCATTCCTGTGTTTCAAGATTGTGATACGTCTTGCTCTTAATTTCAATTCACTTCTCTCGTTTATTTCAGGGAGATGACGAGCTTGGGCGAGGCATGCCTATATCTCCTTATATGGACCGTGATCATCCTCACGTGGCGCAGCTTCAAGAATCATTCATCAATCATCTGGTTGCTCCTTTATACAATGCGTACGCAAACGCCGGACTTCTACCGGGGGAGTGGGTCGATGTCGAAGCCAGTAGTTCGGACTTGGAGAGCGACGATGAAGACTCCAGCGAAGAATCACCGAGGAGTACCGAAGAAGAACAACAGCGAAGGAAGCCAAAGAAGTCCCGACGTCGAAAGCGACGGAAGATAACAAGCGATCTCACGAAGAACATTGAAAATAATTACAAAATGTGGTTAGAGGTTATTAAGCAAGAAGAAAGAGAAAAACGAAAATTGAATAAGATCGAAACAGATGAAAGCGAACGACAAGAAGTAGAAGGATCTGACGAGGAGTTGATGATGATAGAGACATCCTTGAAAGATGAAATAATTGAGGAAGAGGAGAATGGTTCTGAGTCTGGAAGCGCTGCTGATTCACGCAAGGAAAGTAACTCTTAAGTGAGCTGACTTTGTACTTAACCCTGTAAATTATAAGCTGCGACCATACTGTGAACTTAGGAAAAAATTAGCATTGTCTTTTAAAATGTACTGGCAGGCGCAAACAAACCTGAAGGTTTTCTGTCTTTTCGGTTAACCGTGATGTTAATGTGGTAGAAGTTGTGGCCTTTTGTTGAGTGGTTGTCGTGTTTGTGATTGGTGACTTGTAACTAAAGATTGTTATGTGAATTAGATCATCGCTCGTTTGTCGTTTCTCAAGGGTAGGGATGGGTGCACGTTCGTACTATCGATGATGGCCTGCGGTAGTCTTTCTAAAGTAACCCAGTCGTTCAAGATTCTGTTCAAGTACGTTTTAGAAAACGTAAAATCAGCAGAGCTATATGAGAGCGAGTTAAAGTGTCAATTTTTTACAAGTGAGCTTGATAAAGCAAGTTTAACTTTAAAAAATATATATATGATAAAATAATTTTATTGTTTTAATTCACTAATGAAAGTGTTACGGAATCCTGGTTTTAACGAAGGCTTTGAATGAGTTATTTTAGAAAGTTTATTACCCACATTGGAATCAAACTTTTAGCGGAGAGAATTTGCAATGATTAGATGAAAAACCGGAACGTAGAAGTGGACGAAAAGACGTCATCTGAAAATTTTCATTTACAGCTGAGATAACATTACTCAGACCTGGCGTGACTAGCACGATAATTGGTCACGCTATCGTCTGCCTGTGTATTATATGTACAGGGAATACACTTGTATGTACAAAACGAGAATCAAATTATGCAATTATAATGTGTAAATAACGTGGATTGCCACCGAGCCTTTCAAGGCCAAAATATTAAAGTATCAGAGTTGAGAATAGATCGACTTACTAATGAGAGAACAACAGCTGTAGTATTTAAGGACTCAATATTAAATATAGTTGGAAGAAATCTGTCACGCAGTAAGTGTGCTATTATAATGACTCTCCTTATCTAAATTTCTACCAAAGACATTTCGAGGCTGGAAACTTTCTTAGATGATTCTGGTATCAAGGAACTCACATTAAGCTGCTACTGACTAATTAAACTAAATCAAGCTGATTAGTTAGTTGAATGCTATTGACTGTAAAGCGGGACTGTATCACCCTGAACTAAGCGGTCGTTTATCACAGGGATTGTTGATGAGCGTGAAAGGAACCAATCGAGAAGAAAAGAAATTGAATTTGCGAATTGGTTGCTGTTAATAAACTCTTTTCTTTTCTCTTTCGGAACTGGACAATTTATTGATACTGAAAGAGAACTCCTGAGGAATTTTCAGCGTCCTCTAACCCTTTGAGCTCATTCTCGTAAAAAAACTGCTCTTCTCCAAACGCCGGTTTTAACTGGTCCAACCATGCTGCTCTCTTGTCGTATTTTGCAAAAAACGGTCGTCCAGTCCATTGAGGATTTCGTGCCTGAAGGAATTGCAAGACGAATACCTTTTCATTGGCAACTTCTGCAGTTCCTAACAAATGTACTTTTCCTGGAGCAGCGGACATGGACGGACCGCGCACCGTTCTCGCAACTCCGGAAACTCGCCGAATAGCTTCGTGATAGATTCGTGAGGCCTCGACCAGTGGAACTTCAAAATAATGTTTAGCACCAGTGTCCCGCTCTACGAACATGTAATAAGGAATCATGCCGAGAGAGAGCTGGGTCTGCCACATTTCAACCCAGACCCACGGGTCTGCATTGACATGATGGATCAATGGAGCCTGAGAGCGAATGACTGCTCCGGTCATGCGTATCCGTCGGATGGCTTCCCTGACGACAGGTGATTGGAGTTCACGGGGGTGGGACACATGAGCCATGATGGCAAGATGTCGACCGGACATAGTGACTGTTTCAAACAGCCTGAAAAGTGAAGAGAGTTATTAAAAATAAGTCATGAGAGAAAGGCGATTGATGTGCGAGATAGGGAAGAGGAGCGAATGCCTTTACCGCTGGTACTCAGTGTTAGCCACAGTTACTTAATTGAAAGATATGGTAAATAAACCCAGATTTCCCTACTATATATATATATCTTCTCAGTTTTGATTGCCTGTTTTGGACATGACCGGACACAATAGCATTCTAAGAAAATCGCACTGAACTAGCTTAGAAAAAGAGGTATCCCATTAATTTACTCAGTCACAGAGTGTGAACTTAAGAACAAAAGATTGTGCACGGTCTGGGAGCTACCGACATTAATTTCAGAACCGTTGTTTTGATTCTTTTATTTTTGCAAGCTCTCGTAACTAGTCATTAATCGTACTGACTTTAGGACCTGCGAGAAACTCTAAGGACCAAACGCCGCCATGTAAGTGATCATCATCAAAACCCAAACTGAAAAGCATTTAATTTACCGTAGTAAATCGTCAGCGTCATCATTTGTGACATAACGGTAAGGCCAATAAGCAAGAGACTTGGTACCAATCCTGATAGTCCTTAAGTGGTCGAGTGTTGGATCCTGGAGGAGTGGGTGGATGTATCTTTCAAGCTGTTTTGTTGTCATCACCATAGGGTCACCACCGGTAAATAAAACATCTCTTATTCCTACATGAGAAATTGAGTGAAAACTGATATTTAACGTCATCTCATTAGCTGGAAAAGGAGGATTCAAGTGACTAGTAACGGTTTACATTACTTTGCGATCATCTATCTAAATATTCAATCTGCTGTTGAGAATAACCCGAAATTACTTTGGTATCACCTTGCTACAATCGCTGAGATCTCATACCACGCCCTCAGCCAATCCGATTCTGAACCAAAATATATCATGTCTCGGTTACTCGCGTTTTTCCCGCGCTTAGAACCTCTACATGTTCTCATTGGTTTCCCACGATATTAACGTGAACAAAGATTGGCTTTTGTGACTTACCAGTCAATCGAAAAACAACCGATCCGTTGCTTGTAATACAGTGATATCAAAAAGAAATTCCCGATCCCAGCTAGCTATCGTTCGTCGTGTCATAATTTTTATCTTTATTTAAAACATGTACGATGGTAACTGAAATATTTCCAAAATTCTCTCAATCTTGCTTTAAAAAGGACCAAATCACAATTTATGCAAAGTCGTTACGAACCAATTTGGCCATACGTCTGCGTACATTCATGCCGTAGAATGATGCGTAAAGATTTCTCAAGGCACCACTAAGCCTGCAACTCTACAATCTCGGCCATATTGTTGAGAAAAACTAAGCTAAATGTTCTTTTCTTTCAGTCCTGGCAATATGTCACACTCTTCTGACACCTTGCAAAAATTGGAAACGTAAAGCACTCTTACGCAACTAAATTTAGTAGCTTTGTTACCTAAATATCATATGACCCGTCAGGCCCTACGCGTGTGCTTTTATTGAAAAACATGCAAGTATTCCCGAATGTCACATACTACATATGATCACTATCATTATTGTACCCGGATATCCCCGCCGTGGAGGCTCGATCAGCCAACTATAAGTGGATAACACACGATTGGATGATTGATTGCATAACTACAATGCCAGTGTTCAGATATTGAAGCGATTTTTCAAAAGTGTACCTTTGTGTTTTCGAATATAACTTGCCAGTTTCTCAGAATCATATGACTGGAAGGCTTGCGGAGATCCAACCGCGGTAAACTGGGCCCAACGGAAACAATACGTACAGAACGTGTGGCACCACTGACCTATCAAAAGCATTGACCTGTGAGTTACCATGGTCACTGCACAAGGGATTTCTTAATAAAAGCTATCTTGAGACGATTACGAACTAACTGAAAGTAGTTTCAATGATGGCACAATGTTTTCTGGCGATACGAATATAATCAGTTTGTCTGTAATTTTAAAGTGCAAGAGTCAGTCGAGCTAACAGAACAGAGAGCGGAATGGAAGTGAGTGGAGTTCCCTTACAACAAAAAAAATGGTTTTAACTCTCACAGTTTTTTGTTTGTTTTTTTTTTCTCACAGTTTTTTTTTAATGAAATAAATTTATTTCATAAAAGGATTCCTTAACGGGAAGGATAAACCCTCTAAAATTTGCTTCGCTTCCCACGTGTGGCTTTGAAGCTCAGTTGGTAGTAGCGGGAAGGCACGGGTGTAAATCCCGTCGAAACCTGAATCTTTTACCATCTTCTTCTAGGCAATTGTTTAAAGTGCAGTCCACCTGTGAGCATCATTTCTTTTCTTGAGGTTTACCTCTGTTAAGCACTTCTCTGCGATGTTTGCTGGAAAGTGTGAACGCATGTTAACAACCAAGTTAATATTAGAAAGTTAGTGATATACCTTCGGCAGGAAAGAAGAGAACCGTTTCTCGATATTTGTGCTGCATCCCTGGCAGCTCTTCGCCGTTCTCACGTGGCACATTCATAGTTTTCTGGTTGGCTGGATGCGGATTCATGGATGTTCGAATTTTTTCCACTTTTTTTCGAAGAGAAACCCGACTTTTATTATCACGCATGGCATTCAGGATGTTGTGTAGGTCGTCAGGTGACACCATTCCTGATAAAGAAAAAACACGAAAGGATAAGAAATGAAAAGTGCTATCAACTGTCAAATGTCAAAGGAAGAGTTCAAACCCTTTACGTAGTTTGTTTAGAAAGTTAGTGCCCCTTAAATTTGCCGGAACACACCTGAGGTGCCCTGAGTAACACAATTTTCTCATCGCTAAGGATGGCCAGGAAAGGCAATTATAATAATCATCACTCGAGACTATGATGGAGCTGGATGAACGTAGTTTAATGAGCGAAATCACAAAGGTTATTAAAACATGGCCGACTCTACACACCACCAGTCCTCTAGACGCATGTCTACTACATTGTAGAAAATACCGCTGATCACTACAGCAATCAATCAGTTTGGCTGAATCTATCATATGACTTTTATTTCATTAAGTGCCCTCAAGGGCGCCCAGGGACAAATATATTAGTAGCCAAGTCTTCATAATGGGCACAAAATATTAGCGAGTGTCCATGTATCAATCTATGATGAAATAAAAGATAATTTCGTTTTATCAACCGAGTTAATAATGTGAATTAGGCATCGTATAGATTCTAAAGCTGACGTTTCGAGCGTTGGCCCCTCGTTATAGTGAATCGCGCCTTAAAATCCCATAACGGTGGCTAATTCACTATCAACGCTGTCAGTAAATTCGCTTGCATGTCTTGCTCAAGGACAAGTTAAACTCGCCACGATTAACGTGGCTTGACACCTCTTGACGTGGCTATGGCTTAACTAAACCGTTTTATTGCTAACAAAATCCCTAATACTAAATTCTTGTAGCTTACCTGGTTGTGGAAAGGTGAGTTGAAACATAGGATCATCCGGTACAGCAGACCAGTCGATCAGCTGAGTAACCACGTAATTGTTTGTGCGCATCGGCAGAACGGATGCCGCTGCTAGGTATGGCAGAGGGTCCACTGACTGAGCCCCTCGAGGCCAGTATGTGTTCAATATGGCTGGAATGTGACTTTTAGTGTACATTTTCCATTGCAGCGGTTTGATATTTTCACCTGTAAGGATGATATTGCTTAATTGTTTGTGAAGAGTCTTGAAATTAAACCAAGAATTATTTGATCAAAGAAAATCGCATCAAATCAAAATCTTTTCGCATTCCATTAGAGCAAAACTTCGCAAAGTCTGTCTGTCAAGAAGTCGATCGATCATGCAGTCGGTTGGGGTCACAGTCAGTTGGTTTCAAAAAATCACATTTCTCGTGTAACGAAAAGTACAAAGACAGGTTGGTGTGCTACGGTGTATATTTTTAAGTACACTTAATTACTTGTGTGTATAAATGTGAATTTAGTCACAGACCTGCAAAATTTGGAATATATGGGTTAGGAACATTGACGCTGCCAACATCGTTACATGTCGAATCGTACTTTCTCTCCTCCTGAGTGTTCAGTGTTGACATGAATCTGCGGGTGACCCATCTTCTTGCGCAACCCAGAGAAAGTGGTAAGACCTTGTTAAACTGAAGCATCTTAAAAACCTGAAAACAATTACCAGCGTGTGTCTACAGAAAATGTATTTAGCTTTTAACTCAGAAATTTTGGTGGCATTAGTACATGTAACTGTTGTTATTATCCAACTGCACAAAGAAGAGTACAAATGACGCGCGAATACTGTAAAAATATTTTGCGATATTGTACGGTTATTTGGACAGTTGGTTATTTTGTACTATAAAAACCTGTTTAACCCTCCAAGCATGTCTAATACCACGGCTTGATACAAGTTGTCTAATGTATTCACGAGTCGTACGACTCCCGCGAGTCGTCTAATATATTCACGAGTCGTGTGATGTATTCACGAGTCGTACAACCCGTGCCCCTCACTAGGGAGACTACCATTTTTTTACCTCACACATTAGAAATTTTCGCCAAAAAGTTGCGAGTACATGTAAATGTTATTATCCAACTGCACAAAGTAGAGTACAAATGACGCGCGAATACTGTAAAAGTATTCTGCGATATTGTACGGTTATTTGAACAGTTGGTTATTTTGTACTGTAAAAACCTGTTTAACCCTCCAAGCATGTCCAATACCACGGCTTGATACAAGTTGTCTAATGTAATCACGAGTCGTCCAATATATTCACGCGTCGTATGGCTTGTACGAGTCGTGTGATGTATTCACGAGTCGTACGACCCGTGCCCCTCACTAGGGAGACTAACAGTTTTTCACCTCACACCACTGATGATCTAATGAAGTCGTTTACTTTTAAAGAGCTTTCTCCGATAAAATGTAACATACAAGAACCTCGATAAAACAACATTGTCTGTGAAGACGCTCGCTATTACTAACGCATCGAACAAGTTTGAATGGATGATGATTTTAGATATATGAAATTCATATATTTTCACTGTGGTGAAGAGATGAAATTAAGAGATCCTCGCAGCTAAGAACACTACTGAAACGAGTAGTTGAAAATAGAACCTGAAAAAAATTCAGGCCCGAACAGGATTTGAACCCATGACCTCTGCGAGTAATGAACTTTACTTGCCAACTGGGAGCTGGTAAATGTGTTGGGTCCAAATAAACCATCCAAGTAAAGTTCATTACTTGGATGGTTTATTTAGACTCAACACATTTACCAGCTCCCAGTTGGCTTGTTAGCTCAGCTGGTAGAGCGCTGCACCGGTATCGTAGAGGTCATGGGTTCAAATCCCGTACGGGCATGAATTTTTTTCAGGTCCTATTTTGAACTACTCGTTTCAGTAGTGTTCTTAGCTGCGAAGTTTGAATGGTTGCCACAGAAACAAATGATACATGAATCGAAATGAATATTCATGAATCGACGACTTGTACGACTCGTACGAATCGACACACCATCATCTAGGTTCAGTTCTCCCAAAATGGTGAAAAAATATAAGTCTCTCTAATGACATTCATGGATAGACAACAAGAAGAGAGAGCATTTCGACACTTAAATCATCAAATTATAGTGTTCAGAAGATATAATATTTTCAGATCTTGCCGTGACACTACTAAAGACGATTAACATCTCAAAATAAGTTCACAGTAACATCCACTGACGCATAATTTAATAAAAACTCTTCTTTGCAGAAGTATCTCAATAGATGTGATCTACTCATCATCAAAGCCATTGAGGAAAATTTTTTTCTTTGAAAAGAGAGAATATCTCTTTTTGAGTTAGCGACTTACACCGAATAGGCCCGCCATAAATTTGCGAAGCGAACAAGCAGAAAAAATACGATTCCTTTGAGTTATGCAACAGAATGATGGAGCGGAGAAATGGTGGATTAGTGGAATGGCGGAATATCCAAAAAACGCGTAATGCCTTTTTCTATGAAACTTAAGTCTCAAAAAATGAAATTTCAATAAAATAAGAAAATTATTTATACCTAACAGACGAAATTGAAAGAAGTAAAGATACATTTAATCATTGCTAAGGCCCAGAGGCTAGAGGAACCATGAGGCGTTCGAGCCAGCCCCTTAAATTGTTATTATATTACTATCGTTATCATAATTATTATTGAGGATATTATCATTTGCTACCATTTAATTATTGGCTGAGTGTCCATTAGATAATATGTTCTTGGACAGGGTACTCATAAGTATGTGGGATGCGAACAGTTTTTTGTTTTGCATGTAAGACAAATATTCTGCTACACTACCTTGTAGCGTCATTAGACAACCTCTGATTTATTTTCAATGCTATAAAAATTGTGTTAAATCAGTAGCCACATGCAGTCTTTGACTGTCTATTTTTTATACGTGAAGCGCAAAAACTACTCGTCAAAAAGCCAGAGTTGATCTGAATGTGGATGCGCACAATTGACGTAAACAAATACATTTAATTGAAGAGCATTTGCGACCAGTCTTTTGTATAATTATCTCTAGACTCTATAAAACAAGCCTGTTTTTCTTCCATACAAAATGATAAAGATGAAGGGGTGAAGCTCTTGAGCTGGCTTTTTTTTGTAGGCTTTGTTTCTTTTCGACTCAAATAATCGGAGGACAAATATTGGAGGTTACTGCGTGATAACCGTCCAGTGATTTTGCATTAAATGACGAAAATTAGCTTTGATGGGTGGGCTATGATGTTGAATAATCCCCGAGAAGAAGTCTTAATCAGACGCGATTTGCCACCTTTGTTAGTATCACTGCATTAACGTCGACGGCTGAGTCCGTTCCTCCCGGATACCGGTTCTCGGTAACAAAATAATTACTGGGATACCTGTGGTAGCCCAGTCATAAAATGCCTTTGTTTTTTTTTCGTCTTTTTTTTTTTTTTTTTTCCTCCGCCACAAAATGGAAAAATTGCGCAATAGTACCCAGAGGTCATTGGGCTCTCAACACCGTGACAACCAACTGTGATCCAATGAAGTGTTCACATGCTGATCACGCGTGTTATCTTGATGATGATTGACGTTGTCATGCACAGACAGGGCCGGGTCACATGACGAACCACGGGACGTATAAAACGTGTACGTATTAGACGTATAAAACTCTTTTGTCAGTCGTTTTATATTTCAACGTATTTAGATTACGATCACTCGGAGTGTCACGACGCAAACGCTCAAAATACTTACAGACGCATACACAAGTCGTATTGTTCGCGGCCAATCCACGCTAAAAGATGTTATTGAGCGGTAATTTTCGAACGGATTGAGTCGCCAACGCTTGAAAGCCATGAAAGCCTTGAATGCCTTGTATGCCAAGTATGCCAATGTCTTAGTTGAAAAACGTACACTTGTTGTAAAAAGCAAAATCTGAAACCAAACTGCATATACTCTATGCAATCTGTTGAACAACACTCTTACCGTGAGACTAAAGAACAAAACTCTAACGGATGCAAACTGATAGTGAAGAAAGACGGCATGTTGGATTCACTTGATGCCAGGGAACGTAGCTACGATAACAGTGTACAGGAAACGAAATATGGTCGATTTACAACGATAAATATTTCGAAATATAAACATTTTCCTCATAAAATCAATAAAAATTACTCATACCCTGTGTATCCGTTTTAGTTTCTGGCGATTTCTGCCGTTTTAAGCTTGCTTTACCATTACTGTTATTCACGTCATCTACTTTTATTACGTTGGTAAAATCTGTACAGACATCACACCAACCAACTCGCGCGCAAAGTAAGAAGACTATATTAAAGGCTTGAAATTATATTACGATCGATTTTCATCAAGAAATGGGCCAGGAATTTTCCACAATAGTGCAAATAATGGTGAAGGCTGATCGCGGAAAAGCGATTGCGTGACGCTCGGTAAGCTGTAAGATGACATGTTATTATATACCAGACGTAAAAACTCTTCAGATTCTCCGTCTGCATTTTGTACCCACTCTGCAGTCTGCAGTCTATATTTTGTATCCGGTCTGCAGTCTGCTGTCTGCATTTTGTAGTAACAGGTATCCGTGGCACCAATACAGTTTATTTTTGGTGACATTTATTCGCGCAACACACATAATTTACCACAAAATACCTGTGTGTGAGGTAATTCGACATTATCGTTCTTTTCCGCGTTAATACTCTTCTTTCCTTTGGTAAGAATGTAGACCACTAACAATGTTTCAAGTAATCCACCCACCCTACAAAAAATAACTCTTGCATGCAGAGCATGCCTGTGTTTTGAAATAGGTGTATGCCCTTAGCCAGACTTGAGCTCACTATTTCAGTATACTAGTCCGACACCCACAGTATCACTACACTTGATTCCAAGGATCCAGTACCATCCAGGTATCCCAGTTACCCTGCTCACAGGGTCTAGTTGATATAAGACCAGCGGATGATATCAAATTTCGAAATACGAACCTCACTGTCTGTCAGCGATACGGAAACCTCTGACAACCAACTTGTATTGAGAATCGTGAAGACTTTGCCGTTCATTCATCAACCTGACCGAGTGGCGCTAGAGGCGAGTGACGTGTCAGCAGCTGATCGGCTATATCAACACACGTGAAAAAATACGATATTTTTTCACGTGTCTTGTTACTACTTTTCTCAGGGCCGAAAATCTTTGTATGACACCGCAGTTTATGTGATAAATATGTCGTACGTGCGCTAGTTTCTCTAAAATCCAAGCGAAGTATACATTCAAAGAAAGCTTGATAAATGCAATTTATGATAAAAATATAATTTAAGCGAGTTTTCCTTTTGGGAAATGTCAGAAGTCGGTAAATACCCTGCTCGTTTAAAGTGGATGTATTCCTCCCAAAATCAAATGCGAAAGGGATTCGTCCGACGATCCGTGTCAAACTGACGGTTTATTTCAGAAGATTCCATCGATAAATGCTTTTACATAAAAATCAGGAACTTTCAAATTGATTATTTGTTTACCTTCTACGGGTATTTCAATAAGTACTTACCTTCAAAGACAAAGAGAGGCGGTTAGGCGGTAAAAATGACGAGAGCCGGCCTCAGTTTTATGTGATCTTTAGGTTCAGGTTGATACGTGACAATGCATAAGCCTGTTGACGAAGTAGACGCCAGTTCTTCGGCTCACCGTATT